GTTTGTAACTGGTATGAGAGGGGGAGGGCAGGCCAGCGGGACACGCACCAGCGTGGCTTTGTATGCTGTTTTAGATAGACTGGAGTTGTACCGTCTGGATCACTATACAAACACTGCCCTCACTCCTCTCTAAACAGTGTCATTTTGTCAACTTATAAAGTAAAGTCACATTAATTTGCATTTTAGTATTGTTTTTACTCTTCGTGTAATTTCATAGGAATTTGTTGAAATTTGTTGAACAGTCTTTGCTAAGCATTCCGTAGTTTTGAACAATCTTTGCTAAGCATTCCGTAGTTTAAGATGGTTCCGATTGGCTAATCTGAATTGAAACCGAGCTTCGTTTTTGTTCTTGTCTAATGGCTTAAGGCTCTAGGAGTTGGCTGTGGTGGAATAGATTTATAATTACATAATTATAATAGTCATATGCATCTTCTAAGTACAGCTTAATGCAAGCATTTGTTTGAAGCTTGAAAACAAGTGCACGTCAGGTTAGATGGATACAGATGAACAGGTTTCTTTACAATAATGTATAGCCAATGGTTCTCAAGTCCACGTTTCGCTGTTAGTTTTTAATTGCCTTGTACGAATCATTTGGAAGCTGCAACAGTGCTTTTAGTGAGTATGAATGCTGTAAGAGTATAGATTCTAGATGCTACCGGTTCAAGGGTTTTCCAGTTATATATATATTTTAAGTTCTCTTAACGTTTAGTTCCCCTTGTGATGCTCTTCATAACAATTGCAAGTTTTAATCCTTAAGAATGTGACGAGTGCCGAGGCAACGTTGTTGATGGTGGCGCTGCTAGTGTGGGTGTATAAAGTACAGTGTGTGGTGTTAGGCGTGGCTTGTGACCAGGCTTAACTGCCATTAAAGCCAAGGTTCCTACCTGCATTCCTTCGTGTATTTGCTTTTCTTGTGTGGTCCTGCTATCGCTTGGACATTACTGTACCAATGTCTAAGTGTTTGTAGTTGGACCTGTGAACCCTCGGATCTTACGTCTCTGTACTCTCCCTCCCTCTTGCTTACTCTACTATTGCGCCCGTACTCAGTACTCTTGTATAGTGTCCTCGCTCGCTCTTCCTGGCTCCTTCGCTCGAAGGCGACAGCAGCTCGCTCTGCACACTGTAGCTTCCGGGTTGTAGTGATGTACGGCGGCTATGGGGACCTTCATCGTACTCGATGTTTGACGACGAACCCCCAATCAACACAACTTCCTGAAACCGTAAACCCTCTAAACGCGCCACCTCCAAGGCCATAGTGGTGTACGCACGTGCGGGAGGATTACTAATGGATCAGTGTGTGCCTCTGTTCATCCCCCTCTGGAGTACTAATATAGTCGCCAATGACATTGCTCGATGTATCAAGTGGCGTAATCGTATATATTCACCAAATTTAGATGTGTGGACCCCAGTACCTCGGTAATGGCGCGTTGGGGGAGACCCGACAACACTGAATCCAAGTTTTGTGGTCAGCTGTGGTGGTGTCCTGCGGCTCCTCCATTTGGCAGCCAGTGAATGCTTTGATTAATTTATTATTGCCAATGTTTTACTCACAAATAACAGCGCAGGTACAGGTGTGCAAGTACACTATATAGGTAATTTGAAGTCTCGCCAATGGCTGATTTGTAATGTACATTAATTAGCATCTAAAGATAGACGCCAGGCATAAATTTTGTTTTGGAAGTACATACAACAAGAGGAGAGAGTCTGCGTGTCGGAATGTTACCGACATTTCCTTGTTGTCTTCCACACGCCACGTTAGCCCTAAGTGGCAGCTTTCCTGACATGCTGGGTGGCCTGGCGTCCCTCGCCCTGGGGTATACTGGCGCCCAAGGACGGGTCCTAGATGCTGCTGTTGTTTTTAGATCTAGCTACTCGGAACGAAATGTCCGTGTAGCACGGGCTATGGCGAGCCCGTGTCCTAGATACTTTGCTGCGTCTTAGCCTAGTCCGGCGTGTCCGAGGTCGGGTCATGGAACCAACGTACTGCAACGGGGAACTGTCGTGAAAAATTCTTTCTGAAGAATGTTAATGGGCTAGTCTAGATATATAGGAAGTGAATATAGTGAGCGAGCAGACGCGCTGGGCTACTTGTTTCACGTTAATAATTACTGACCTGAAGCAATTTGTCTGGTCTATTTTAAATGCATGTCCTATCGGCATTACTCTTATTGAACATTTATTTTATTATGAATCATTACAATTATTAACGGCAATGGTGGTGGTGAATGTACCGAGAAGAACCTGTTCTATATTGTAAGATGGAAAAATAAGATACTTGTCACCCATAAACATGGACTGGTCGGTATAGCGATAGCCTTGTTGTTTGGCATATTCGTCGTTCGATCCCCGATGGTCAAAGTGGTCGGGCACCATTCCTTGTATCCCAGCTCCTTGTCCTCGTCTCCCTTCTAAGAGTTAAGTCATGCTGACTGCGCGCGGGCACTTTCTTGATAATTACCTCATTAATTTATGAGTGGCCTTCACTAGCACCTTGTGCTTGTGAAGCCCATTCTTCTGCTCTAAGAATTTGAGTTTCATTTAGAAGGGCCCCAGCAGTACTGATGGGCTCAAGAACTTTGAACCCTATTTCCGTCGGACACTTTGGGATTCCTTTAACAAATTTTGAACCACCACCAGATTAGGTAAATTGTGTATAGCCTGTGGCCATGTTATTGACGTCTGACAATAATCATAACTGTAATCATACAAATAACATGCTATTGATAATACAAATGATTATTAATATCAAAGAAATCAAGAGTGTGAAAATCAATGTCCAGCTGTACATAGACTGTGACGGAGTAATGTGTTGGAGTCATTATGGTGGGTGGGGGAACCTTGGGATGCCAAGTACACTGGGCTGACGCGGACGACGTGATCGTTTGCAGGCAGACACCAGGGAACTAGTCTGGCTACGAGGGAAAGAGAAGGCAATGAGGTACACGAAGACAGAAACATGAGGCACTGTTCCTTATTTATGTAAATGACCTTCCGGAGGAAGTAGGATCGTACGTTTCAGTGCTTGGAGACAGTAAATTGGTAAATGGTTAAGGACCGGAGAGGACGACATAAAGACTGCCGGAGGACCTGGTCGTCCTGCAGGAATGTGGGGATGAATGGCTGACTAGTTTAATCTCGCTTAAAATAAACAGTAATGAGACTTGAGAGAAGACGTCAGTATAATACACCAGGGAAGCTGTTGGTGTAGTCAGAAGGGACCTGGTGGAGTGTGGAACACCCAAACACGCAGACAAAATCGGCTGCATATACAAGGTAGCAAACATAAGAGTGGCTCTCGAAAACATGAGTCTTTCAGTTGTAAATTACACGAGACAGGACCTAGAGTTCGGCTCCATCATGGAGCTTACACTTGTTGCAGCACAAGAATATAATGAGAGAGGTCTGAAGGTATAAGTGAACTGACCATGGAAGAGAATGAAATAAAGCAATATGATCACAGAACAAGATACTGGGCAGAATGTAAAGTGGATACACAGTCTTCTCTGAACTAGGGACAACTGAACGAGGCACGTGTTCTTTGGCTTACTTTTCTGAAAGACAGATGAACCAGAGCACTGTAAACACGCGTACGGTATCCAGTGAGTGGGGAAAAAAGCGATATGAGCTTGACCCGGAGGTGGAAGCAACCATCATTCATTGCTCCAGAAGCAAGTATGGCCGTATTGAAATTTGTGAAGGTATACATGCACCAGGTAAGTTGTGGCGGGGCTAGAGAACTTGAGCTCGCTCTCCGAAGACGGACAGATCAGCGCTCACACAGCCACGCACACAACACTTGCACATGTACGAAAATTTCAAGGGCTTGATATTAAAGATATTCCAAGTAATGGCGAAAATTCCAAGGTCATGTGTTTTGTCATACTTTTGTTCGCAAAAAGGTGTACCCAGAACTGGAGGTGCAGAGTGCGTTCCAAGGCACCGGATATCCTTGAAGGGGGGCTGCTTGGTGGTGGCTCGCTCCGTTCTCTTCATTTGCCACAACCTACAAAATCCAGAGTTCTAACCTAACCAGAAACGAACAAACCCCCAACCTGTCCTCTCGAATAATGCATAACATTTTTACGTCAAATCCCAAAATATGATATACTATAAACCATAGCGGTTCACAAACACGTTTTCTATGTGTACGTCCATCGGTTAGGTCAATACAGTTCGTGCAATTTAGTACGGAATCTTTGTGACAACTTAAGGGGACGGGTTGCCCAAGCAACCCACCTAACCTAACCAGCCGGTGCATAGAAAAATGTGGATTTTTGTGAATGTGCTTTTCATAGCATGTTGCATTTGCTACCTTGGTTACCATAACGTACCATAAGGACGTTTTACTTGAGATGACTGGTTATGGTTGGTGGGCCCAAGTATTCGCGTGCCGCCCCCTGTGAGAACATCTAATTATGTAATACTGTCAGTTTTGTGTTGTTAGGCTACCTATATTAAGTTAAGTTAAATAATAAGAGTTGTAATATGAGAAATGGTGGCACGGTAGTTGGGTTGGGCATTATTTTTTCTGTAATTTCCGTGCAATTATTGTTGTACGACAGAGGCATTGTTTAATTTGTTGGCAGTACAGCTTCCTAAAGATAGTGGAAAGAGGTACGAGAGCCTTTATATTTTAGTTGACCCTCAACGTTGCACACAGTGTAGAGTACTGGCCACAGTTGTCCAACGTTCCCAGCAGATGGCTCTGGCATATACCGTAATCATAAACTGTTAACACTGTTTTCAATGTTCTCCACAAATTAATAGTCTGCCAATTGCATTTCTCTTGCGTTCTCGGTACACGCTATTTGTGATGATACACTGCGTGACGGAGACCTGGTCACCAAGGCCAGTCCAGCTGAGAAATGTGGCTGCACTTGACGCGCGCATGTACGCACGCACAGGCACGAGCGCACCTTTGCAAGTGTTAACGTCTGGCATTTGTTTCTTGCTGTGCTAATATGTTGGTCTATAGCGCATGCACACGTTATCTGTTGCAGGCATGGATGGAGTGATGTTGCGTAAGGATGAACGGTACATCGGGCGGCGGCGGCGGTGGGTACGGTGATGAAGGCGCCCATGCCTACGCCCAGGGTCATGGCGGCGTGGGCGGGACCTCGGGGGTGGGCGGTGGGGGACGGCGGATTCACACCCGCAGCGTCTCCCACGGCGGCATCATGATCAGCAGGGAGCCGCCTATATTTGACCAAGGTGAGTGGGTGCGTGGGAGGGAGGGAGGGAGGGAGGGAGGGAGGGAGTGAGTGAGTGAGTGTGTACGTGTGTACGTGTGTGCACGTGTGTGCGTGTTTTCATGACCCTGTGAGTGCGGTGGTGTGTGACAGTGCGGTGTGCCACCATGCAGCAGCACACCCTTCACAGGAGATGGTGAGTAGCAAGTCTTACTCTTGTGTTATTCCAGTATACACTGGCTTAAGTCATAAATGAAATGATAGTCTTGAACGCCCTGCTACACACACTAATGCGACGTATTTTTCGTATCTAATATACTCAATTTATTAAATTTGTCAACCTTTCTGGACGAGTCACAAAAAACTGATGATAGACGAAGGAAATTGTAGCATTTGCGACAGTCATAAGAGCTGGGAAACAGTCGGATCACACTAAAGTAACTGTCACAACTTCAAGAAAGATGTAGGCTGGGTAACGACCTTTTCACAAGATGCCAAATGACATTCTGAAATCATTTATACTCCAGGATGGAATATTACTGCACATAACATTTTAATTCACCCCCCTGATGAAATTGCTGGTCTGGAGAATGTGCAGAAAACCTTTTAACATTATATTTTTTTTATATATAAAACCATTAATTATTGTGAACTTTATTATTATTCCTACGTGTGCGCGTAGGAATGTGGTGACAAGATGGATGTCTACCGTCTGTCAGTGCAGTCATGTAAGCGCAAACGATAGACATCCATCCTGTCACCACACGGATGTTCTTGCTTGTAAATTAGGCTTCGTAACTTAGTTTAGTTCATTTATTATGCACCCCATACCCATCTTGTGGGAGGTAGTGGAAAGGGTTATCGAGGCACATAATGGACTCTGGGGACTGAACCCCACGTTTCATTTAGCTAAGCAAGTTACAATCTTGATGAGCTAGTTATAAAATTCAATGCACTTCATCACAATAACACTGGGCTCGAGACCTGGGCTTCATAATATTGAAGGATTTAAAATTGAAGATGCATGAGATAGTGTGAATGTATTGTTACAAGTGAATGCAAGTATAAACGGTAACTGATGTTTTATTAAAAACACGTACGAGTTGTCAGATTAATAATTGATTTCCTCGTGTGGCGTCTGGTGAAGGCGGCACGCTTCCCCAAGGCATTGGTGGCGCCATGGGGCACCAGCGGACCTTCTCCCACGGGCAGCTGATGGAGGGCGGGCGGGGTCACAAGCGAATGGGATCCAAGACTGACTTCATCCTGCCGGCGGGTCACGAGGAGCGGGAGCGTGAGAGAGAACAGCAACAGCAGATAAAGAAGACACTCTCCAGGACCTCGTCTTTCCCGAAAGGCCACGCCCGGCAGGCCTCCCGCTCGGAGTCCATCTACACAATCAGACAGAACAAGCGCACACTCCTGCAGAAGATCCTCTTCTGGAAGAAGGTAATGTGTGTGTGTAGATTGAGGTGTTTTGGGGCGTCTTAAATTACTCGCGCAACATACGTGCTGATCAAGCGAGACCCCCCCCCTCCCCCCCCCCCACTAACCAGCTCTTGCTGTGTGCATCCTGCAGGTGCCAGAGGAGAGCCGGACGCGTATGGTAGTGCCCAACCACGTGGTGCCTCCCCACGTGTCGGCGGGCCAGCACCCCAACGGCGCCTACCCCGACAACAGCATCTGCACCACCAAGTACACAGTCCTCTCCTTCCTCCCCAAGAACCTCTTCGAGCAGTTCCACAGGTCAGTCCGTAATTCTTTTTGACCAGCTTCAGTTATTAGTTGCAGTGGGTACACAGGGCACGTGGTCTATGATGGGAAGTGGGTAGTAGTCTGAGTGTGGGTACTTGCCTAGTTGTGCTCGCGGGGGTTGAGCTCTGGCTCTTTGGTCCCGGGTGGTAGTATATGGGAGTGTGGGTAGTAGTCTGTGTATACTTTATATAATCGACAGATAGCTTTAGTTTGTATGCCGTTTCTATAAACGTCTGTCCATATTAAAGACAGATGGTGCAGCCTAAGTAAAAGATGAAATTCTTGCTGAACAAAATATAAGGCATTGAGGAGTCCATGGTGCAAAGGGCCGAAAGTAACTCTGCCACTAAATGTATTGTCATAGAATTGTTGGGTAAATATTACTATGATTTTTTTTCCATTTTGGATTCCGCTTAGTCTAGTTTTGCCATTTGACTTGTCTAGTCTAGTAAGATTTTTTCGTCTAAATCAGTGCTATTGTTAAGAATCATTAATCGGAAAGATAGTTTACAGGTTAGCATGTATAACCCAATCGCCGCTATAAAGTAGTTATGAATATGTTGTGATTATTCCAGTGTTTCTATACTAGGCGGTGTTCGTGTATAATTGTGGAAATATTCGTATCTTCTCAGATTCGCCAACTTGTACTTTTTATTCATCGTTCTGCTGAATTTCGTGCCGGCCGTGAACGCCTTCGGGAAGGAGGTGGCGATGATGCCGCTCTTGTTCGTACTGGGCATCACGGCCATCAAGGACGCCTTCGAGGATCACCGCAGGTACCTCTCAGACAGTCGGGTCAACAACGCCACCTGCAGAGTCTACAACAGGTGAGTACAACCCACCTCTTTTATAAGGGGGGCAAATTGTGGTGCAATTGATCAATCAACAGCCTTTAAGATGGTTGTCACAAGAGGAGCCTCGCCTCAGGCCATGTTTGGGCAGTAGAAGAACTCTCATAAAGACTCCAGTTGAGGCTGACTGTAAAGGAGGAAGTAGGGTGAATTAGAGCGGTAAGGGAGGAACGTGACGGAATACTGGAGACATTAGACTAGGAAAGGAGAGTTGGGGAGCATGACACGAGGGGGGACGGCTATTGGAGACGAAAGCATAGTTGTGCAATTTTAAGGATGGTTCAGGTCACTGAAATTTAGGTTATAGGAGTAGTTAGTGTTTAAAAAATAGATCTTTGTGATTGGTGAATGGAATGTTTATTAAACCTGCGATGTTTGTGGGCTGACTGTACCCTTTGGTTAATGAGAAACGATGCCAGCATAACAAAGTATAACGTTGACACTGTTACACTTGATGTTACTGGGGATTGTTGTGTGTGTGACCTCTGGTAAGTCCCATTACGCAAGCCTGGCGCGCACATACGGGTCGCTCCGTGGACCAGATTAGCCCCAGCCTTGGTCACTCGCCAACAAAGGCTTTTCCTTAACTCTTATCAAGAAGATTTTCAACGGACGTCGCTGTCCTATTCGCACCTCGGTATTTCATAGTTTCTTATGGTAGATGTGGCGGCAACAAATTATAAATGTTATGGATTTCTTGTTTTTGTTTTCGCTATTTTGCGTTTTAAATATATATATGAAGTGAATGAAGCAAGTTTATAATTATATTTGTAAGGTTCTGTCAGCAAAACGTTGGAACTGACAAAACAACGGCTATAGAAGGCTTCATAGTTGGATGTGGGCGATTCCCCTAAAGACAAAATTAGGTAATTTATTTCTTAAAATAGTAGTGAATGAGAATCCTTAACACAAGTTTTCAACATTTCATTTTTACGCAGTTTTGCTTAAAAGCTCAGCATATCACTGGTCCCATAGTTGACATTCTTGCAAACTGTGAGGTGCTGACAGTTGACTATTTTTGTCAGAATGACCAAATCCACTCGGTATGATATTTTGATTTTCAGGTAATATCAGATCTTGACAAACGAGCCGTTTGTGGATGTGTAATATCACCCAGATGTGTTAATTAATATTTTATTGGAGTATCCCTCCTGGTCGGGTTAGATAAAGATCTAGATAAAGATCTAGATAAAGATCTAGATAAAGATCTAGATAAAGATCTAGATAAAGATCTAGATAAAGATCTAGATAAAGATCTAGATAAAGATCTAGATAAAGATCTAGATAAAGATCTAGATAAAGATCTAGATAAAGATCTAGATAAAGATCTAGATAAAGATCTAGATAAAGATCTAGATAAAGATCTAGATAAAGATCTAGATAAAGATCTAGATAAAGATCTAGATAAAGATCTAGATAAAGATCTAGATAAAGATCTAGATAAAGATCTAGATAAAGATCTAGATAAAGATCTAGATAAAGATCTAGATAAAGATCTAGATAAAGAATCTAGCAAGTTAAAACCCACGATATTGACAAGGTTTAAACGTTAGGCCCTACTTGATATTATCTTTGACATGCCCAAATTTGTCCATAGCATCTTTGCGTGTTAATGGAACTAGAACATCTGACGTCAAAATGAATTATCAGTTGACATGGTCCGTACTTGTAGCTAATGAACACGTGCGGGTAACGAGTCTTCAGGAAGGTGTAAGTTATATATTTACGAAGCGTGGTTGTGAAAGGCGGCCCCGTGTATGGCAACCAAGGTGGTGGTTGGCTGGTCTGGCGAGGTGTCCACCGGTGGCGGCGAGAGGCTGTACAATAGCAACCAAGGAACCTTAACCACCAAGTGTGGCGGGAACACAAAGCTACATTGTATTGGTTTTCTCAAGGCTTTTGTTTTAAGGTTTCTTTGCTGGCGCTGAACCTCAAGATCGTAATGGCTTCGAAATTTAATCCGCGTCCTTAGATTGATGACGGAGGTAGTGTGCTCGCTTGGAGGCTGGGTTGTGTGAAGGTTGTTGGCTGTGTGTAGAAACTTGTGTAAAGAACTCGTCCAGTTTGTTCCCCACTATACAAGTGTTAAGATACAAGGGGCTGAGAACTCTGGCCACCGCATGCATTTTAGGCTCGGCATTATGCGGAGTCTTGTACAATTATAAATCTTTAGGTCAAAATGTTCAGGTAGATATCAAAGCTGGTGTAACGACCGGGCCGCGGGGACACTAAGCCCCGGAAGCACCTCAAGGTAAGGTAATATAAAATTTAGCGGAAAATTACTCAGTGATGGCAGTTTTCATGTCCAATAATTAGGTGTCGCATGATGGCATATTTAAAGTGGGAACTGAGCTAGTGTTGGTCTCTACAGGTAGAAGAACGTGTCGTTTAGTTAGTTCATTTATTATGCACCCCATACCCATCTTGTGGGCGGTAGTGGAAAGGGTTACAGAGGCACATAATGGGCTCAGGGACTGAACCCCACAATTCATTTTGCTAAGCAAGTTACAATCTTGATGAGCTAGTTAAAAAATTCAATACAAGTAGTCACATCATCACATCGTTGTGACACGATTACGTGTCGTTAATTCTGGGGTTAGTGGCCCTCTGGATACACCTCGTCAGTATTTTGGCTGTACAGGATTAACGTAAAATGTTCCGAACCTGAGAACCCGATTGGCACTAGACGTGGTTGACTATTATTTTGGCTGTATGCAAATGTGTAAGTGACGGAGGCCACTCTGGGGACTTTCCATTCATTCTGGTATGAGGTTGGTGGCGGTCAGTGTTGTACACGTCTTTGTGGGTGGACATGTACGGACGGACGTGTCCTTGGTGGGTGGTTGTGGTGGGTGAACACCGCCCCTGCACCTTGCACAACGGTTCCTACACCCTCCACAATCCTCAAACTTTATTAAATTAATTGGATCTTTTTTTCTTAAGTTCATGATTTTAATGTTAGTAAGATTGCAGGCGGCTTGAATAGCAGAAAATGCACTGTTTTTGTAAATCGTGCATTTTTTCGTCTAATTATAATTTATCAAACACAAATATTGGTGTTGTAGAGTTGTGTGTAAGCGCGGTCCTCTTTTGCTTGCTCTTGCTCTGTCCTCTCTTATAATAGATTTTGCACATCGTTGTTAGCATGTCGACGATTCGTGTTCTCGTGGGTCCGATGATGTGCTTGTTAATTTGTTGTCAATAAGGTGTCGTGTCAGACGGCTCTTGTGTCGTCCCTGTCGCCACCTTGTTTACATAAAGGTGGCTATCCTGTAGGGACGCGCCCTGAAGCTCAGTGGTGCCCCTTAGTGATGGGTCCCGTCCCTGCCCCCTTGTCCCTGCCATGACCGAGCATGTCAGGTCAGGTTAAGGCAGAGATATACGAAAATCCTGGATATCACTATAGGAAGGTATGGTTTTGTGGTTTTTGAACACGTGAAAGTCATGATAAGGAAGAGGGACAATAATTGGTTATTTTAATAGCTGTGAGTCACGATAACCCAGAGTATTTAGGAAGTGTAGTTTGATCAAGGCGGCAAGCAGGTGGTGTCGAGGTCGCGGTAGGAAACTGATAAAAAGACTTGATTAACAACATAGATCAGCTCTCGTTTATAAATTTACAATATATAACAAAATATTGAACCGGGTGTGTGGTTGTTGTTGTTATAGATTCAGCTACTCGGAACAAGTTCCAAGTAGCACAGGCTATAGTGAACCCGTAGTGGACTTACTGTGGTGTGTGGTCCAAGGTGAGCATTTATAAACTAAAGCGTCTTGGTTAACAGGAAGTGAGGTGATAAACGGTCTTAGTCTAATTGCTCTGAACTACCTTGCCCTCTTAAAGCACTGCATGCATCGTAAGATTCTCACTCTAGCCACTGCATAGGAGACGGTGTTGCATCATCCGGGGATGATTCGTGAGGTCCTGTTGAGCCACGGAGCCCTGTTCCACTCTCCACCTTAAGAAGGGAGGTGTGATGCGGGTATTATTTTGCCTGATGATACTTGGGGTATTAACAGCTGACCAGGATAGGCAGGCTTAACATGAGGGCAGGGGGAGGGGTGGTGGGGGGGGGGGGGCGGGGACAGGGAGACTGGGCTGGACACGTGACCCCCCAAGAATCGCGTATAGTAAAAACATTTACGTTCGTTGGTGTTTGGTTATGTTAGGGAAATTAACAAAGTTAGCAGGAGAGCAAAGGTAGAAGTCACACTTGTAGGAATTCAATTTTGATGGTACCCGCGTGATTAATAATCAAATACGCCAGTTAGTCTAGGATGAGAGGTGGGGCCCAGGAACTAAAGATCAACCCTCCCCCCACCTCCTCCAAACCGTGTCGCGTATAAACACAGCATGCGCACTAAACCGTATATAATTATCCCTTTGTCGTAACTGAACAGTTAAGTGTCCCGCTCCTGTGCCAGGTAAGTCCACTACGGCCCGTGCTGCTTGGAACCTTTTGTTCCCAGTAGCTGAATCTAAAACATAATTGAGGCAGTTATAAGCAGGTTTCTATTACATGTTACAGATTCAGCTACTCGGAACAAGTTCCAAGTAGCACGGGGTATGGTGAGCCCGTAACTTACCTGGCACAGGAGCGGGGCAAGTAGCACGGGCTATGGCGAGCCCGTAGTGGACTTACCTGGCACAGGAGCGATGCTGAATCGAGGTTCTATTACAGCAGGGAGTGGGCTTTGTGTAGAGGATGTGGAGGGGGGAGGGAGGATCGTCGGGTACTACATCCTGTTGACCAGATTATTTTCTCCACCTGGGACGTGGCCGCCACGTGCTGCCATCACGGTGAAGGACTACGGTGACGTCACACTACGTGGCTTGTTACTGTATGTTGACGTGACGTCACGGGGCCTGGACTGACCAGACGGGCTCTGACCTTTGTCTTGACCTGCCACACACACCAGCGGTTTGCTCATGGCAGCTGAAATGGACACGCGACCCCATGATTTTTTTAACTTTT